GGTGCGAGCCTAGGGTTGACTTTTTGATTTTCATTAAAGATTGAAACTTTATTATCCGAAATTGCTTCGTATTGTTTGCATTTATGTTATTAAGTTATTTTGGGTAGATTTGAGCCGTCCGCATTTAGATTTATGCGGGAAAGGCTTATAAGTGGATTGATTTAGCTTGTTTGAGGTAAGTATCTTGCCTAACTTTGTGTGGGGGAACTACCTCTTAAGACTTGGGTGGTTGATTTGTGTTATTTGAATTATGTGAAAGAAGTGTACACGAGGTGACGTGTGTGTACACGGGCTTATATATGGTATTTAGACCGGTTTAGACTCTTAGACTCTTTCATGCATTTAATTAGAAATTTGTAATATCATGATATATCTTCCATTGTTAAATTGCTCTTACATGCTTTACTTGATGTTATTATCACATGCTCTATCCCTTATTGTCAAACATGCTCTTATATGCCTTAATTGTCTTTGTTTTCTCTCTTATTGTCATGTTACCTCTTTTATTGTCGAGTTATTCTTATTTGGAGTTGTTAGTACATGATGTCTTTTCGTGTCGAGTTATTACATGCATATAGATGTAGATACTATTTCATATCATCTCTTTCATTGTTAAGTTATGATGTAAATTTAAATTGAAAATTGTCATTTCGTGGAAATACCTTCATTTTGAGTTATTGAAGTTGAAGTTATGAAAGCTACTATCACATTAAGGTTGAAGTTGTTGATTATTGAGATATGTTTCCTTGTTGAGTAATTATCACTCATTTTATTATTATTGAGATTCTTGTTCGCATTGTGGTTGAGCCGTGGGCTATATATTGTGGTAACTTCGGTATTGTTGATTTTGGCAAGTTGTGGCATATGGGCAGTTGTGGTATGAGTCGTTATTGTATTGTGATATTAATGCGCATGTAGCGGTATAAGTATAGGAGTTAATGTTCATGAGGCAACATAAGGTGGGAATATATGTACGTGTTGCTAGTAAGGGAATTACTTGAAGCCAAACGGCGACATAAGGGGGCTAAAGTGCGTGTAGCTATTTCGAAAAAAATATTTTCAAAATATCTAAAGGTAATGCTCACGCGGCGGTATAAGAAAAGGTTATGATTTTGAATTGTGAAATATGGGTATGAGGAGTGGTACCTTGGTCGCGATCCTTGTTGTATATTCTATGGTAAAGAGGCTTGTTGGTTGAACAGTTTTTGTTATATTTTCATTTGACTTACTTGTATTTTTCCATATTGAATTCTTTATGTTCTTATCGTGTATTCACTCATTATTTCCTTTACTATTTTAAATTCCGTTGTTAGCTTACATTATTGAACTGCTTTATTTTTATTCATTTCCTCGTCTTCCATTATTTGATTGCACTATACGTTGTTCAGTTTTACTTATCCTAGTAGGTGTCTTGACCTGGCCCCGTCACTACTCTACCGAGGTAGGCTTGATACTTTCTGGGTACCGTTGTGGTGTACTAATACTATGCTTCTGTATATTTTTGTGCAGATATAGGTACATCTGTTCATGTCGGACGCCAGTGATCGTACAGTTCTTTTCGGAGACTTCAAGGTATACCTGCTCGACGCTCGCAGGCCTCGAAGTCACCTTCAGTCATTGCGTTTACTACTGTTTATCCTCTACTTAGTTCCACCAATTTTGGTATCTTGTTACCGATGTTTCCGTTTTCGAGTTATTGGGAGCTTTATCGGCTTATTTTATTATCTTAGTTAATTATTTTTGTTAAGTTACTCATGAATGTTAGGCTTACCTAGTTTTAAAGACTAGGTACCATCACGACTACCTTCGGTGGGATTTTCGGGTCATGACAGAAGGTCCCTAGGTTGATTTGACTTGTTTTGTCCAAAGTTAGCAATTTGAGGTTCAGAAGTTCTCCCAAGTTTGACCGTAGGTTGACTTTTTGACTATCAGGTTCGGAATTTGGTTTTGGAACTTGGAATAGGTCCATTTTTCTATTTAGAACTTGTCTGCAAAATTTGGTGTCATTTGGAGTTTGTTTGATAGGATTCCGACTTTTCTTTAAATTTCATGCGTTTGATGTCTAATTCATAGTTTTAGATGTTATTTTTATGTTTTGATCACACGAGCAAGTTTGTATAATATTTTTAGACTTGTGTGGATGGTTGGTTGGATCCCCGAGGGCTCGGGTAATTTTCGGGCGTGTTTCAGAATGGTTTTGAAATTAAACAGGTTGCTGGTGTGCTAGTGTCTCTAATATTGCAATTGAGAACACCGGCATCACAATTGCGATCTTAGCAGGGGGTCTTAGGTATCGCATTTGTGATGCCTGGATCGCAATTGCGAAGTAGTACCTGGGTTGGGTAGGTTTGCATTTGCGACACAATTAGTCGCAATTGCGAGGGAAGTAGGCTCCGCAATTGCAAAGCCCATGTCGCATTAGCGACATCCCACATAGACTGTCAGTGCCGCATTTGTGTTGTATTATTCGCAATTGCGATGATTCACAATTACGGAAACAGTTTCACAATTGCGGTATCTGCAACTGAACAAAAGGTTGGAAAGTCGGGATTTTATCTTATTTTCTCTCATTTTAGAACCCTAGACTCGCTAAGAGGCGATTTGGAGAGAAGATTTTCATCTGTAATCATTGGGTAAGTGATTCCAATTAATTTTCAACTATATTCCATGATTATATGCTTGATTTAATATAAAATTTATGAGAATCAAAGAGGAAATTTGGGAATCTTTGTCAATGTTTTAAAAAAATAAAAATTGGGGTTTTAAGTGTCGATTTGGACTCAGATTTGAGAATAAAATACATATATAGACTCGTAGGGTTATGGGTAGTCGGAATCTATCGATGGACTCGGGTTTTTGACCGATCAGGCCCGGGATAGACTTTTGTTGACTTTTGGAGAAATGTGTATAGATCATAGCTTTATTGATTGAAATTAATTTCCCCTGCATTGTTTGATGACATTAGTCGTTTTTGTTTGATTTGAGCCGTGTAGAGGCGAATATTTTGGGAAAAGCTATTTTTGGGGGTTGATTTTCCCTAGTCGAGGTAAGTATCTTCTCTAACTTTGTGTGGAAAAAAATACCCCTTAGGATTTGGGGTGATTGTGTTATTTGAATTATGTGAAAGACTGTACACGAAATGACGAGTGTGTACACGGACTTATATATGGTATTTTGACCAATTTAGACTTTTAGACTTCTTTCATGCATTTAATTAAAATCATCATAACATGTTACACCTTTCATCGTTAAATTTACTCTCACATGCTCTATTTGACGTTGTTAGCACTTGTTCTATCTTTTATTGTTATATTTGCTCTTATATGCTTTAGTTGAAGTTGTTACTCTCTTATTGTCTTGTTACCTCTTTTATTGTTGAATAAATTTTACTTGAAGTTGTTATTTCGCGGCAATATCTTCATGTTGGGTTATTGATACTAAAGTTGTGAAAGCTATTATCATATTGAAGTTGAAGTTGTTGATTGTTGAGATATCTATCCTTGTTGAGTATTTCTCCTTCATTTGCTCTTATATGCTTTATTAGTTGAAGTTGTTACCTCTCTTATTGTCTTGTTACCTCTTTTACTGTTAAATTACATTTACTTGAAGTTGTTATTTCATGGAAATATCTTCATGTTGGGTTATTGATACTGAAGTTGTGAAAGCTATTATCATATTGAAGTTGAAGTTCTTGATTGTCGAGATATCTATCCATGTTGAGTATTTCTTGTACACATAGTGGCTGAGCCATGGACTATATGTTGTGGTAACACTAGTATTATTGATTTTGGCAAGTACTGTTGCATATTGGGCACATGAGGTGCGGGTTGATTATTGTGTTGTGATATTGATACACATGCGGTGGTATAAGGATAGGGGTTGATATGCATGCGGTAAGATAAGGTAGAATTTATACGCGTGTTGCTAGCAAGGGAATTATTCGAAGCCATGCGATAAGATAAGGGGGCTAAAACGCGTGTAGCTATTTCGAAAAAATTATTTTCAAAAATAAATATAAGGCTCACGCGGTGATATAAGAACATTGTGATTTTGACTTGTGAAATGAGATTATGAGGTGTGGTACCTTGGTTGTGACTCTTGTTGTACTCTCTATGTTAAAAGGGCTTGTTGGTTGAATAGTTCTTGTTATTTCTTCATTTGCCTTCCTTATATTTGTTCGTATTTGATTTCTTGTTGTCCTTAGCATGTATTCGCTCCTTGTTGCCTTTATTGCTTTGAATTTTGTTGTTAGCCTATATTGTTGCACTGTTTGTTGTCATTAGTTTCCTCGTCTTTCGTCTTCACACTATATTATACTCTGTTCAATTTTCTTGTTCTAGTAGGTGTCTTGACCTGTCCTCGTCACTACATTACCGAGGTTAGGCTTGATATTTACTGGGTACCGCTATGGTGTACTCATGCTATGCTTCTGCATATTTTTGTGCAGATAGAGGTACATCTGCTCGTGCCGAACGCCGGTGATCGTTCAGTTATTTCCAAAGACATCAAGGTATACCTGTTCGACGCTCGCAGGCCTCAGAGTCACCTTTTGTTAGTTCCTTTACTATTGTTTATCCTATTATCAGACAGAATTGTATTAGAGATTTTAGTGCATTTTTGCGGAGTTTATGACTCAATTCCACCGGTTTTTGGGGATTTTGTTAATGATGTTCCGTTTTGGAGCTATTATGAGCTTTATGGGTTTATTCTATTATCTTAGTTTGTTATTTCTGTTAAGCTATCTACGAATGTTAGACTTACCTAGTATTAGAGATTAGGTGTCATCACAACATGCTAAGGCGAAAATTTGGAATCATGACAGATTTGATACCGAAATACTACATACGTCACCGGTTAATCGGAAGATTTATTCAGGTTTCAGGTCCTATCGGAGTCTTAGCCCCTGCTGAATGTATTTTGTTTTGAAGTAAAATCTAAACGAACAACTTATCATAAGAGGTGGTACAAACACTTTTTTGTGACATTCATAGACCATTTTTTATTCACTTTAACATATATAGGCCACACTACATTTCTCTTGTAACTAAAAAAAAAAAAGGTATGCTAAAAATATCATAAGTCTGCTATGTTTCTCTGTCTTTCCCTTGAAACACAGCCTTAAATGTATCAAAGATGATGGGAGAGTCCAAAGATTATCTGTCATTGGTTGATCAATCCAAATTACTGAAATTTTCCACACTGAAAGTATCGTTGAGGACACTGTCATTCCATTCCCATGAATCATTCTCTTGTGTCCTTTCAACAAAATAATGATTGTTGTCCATGATATTCGCCTGATAATCAAAAAACATCTTAAGTGAGTATTTAATTATCTGAATAGTATAGCACAATGAATTCATAATCAAATAAAGACAGTTAATTAATTAATAATAATAATAATAATAATAATAATAATAATAATAATAATAATAGTAATTATAATAATCTATCTATACTATATTAAAAGCACGAAACCCCTATCAAAATGTTGTTCGCATCTTTTATCCTTTAAAATAGGTTTCACGTTGAGTAAAATTGTAATTGAATTACTCCCATTATTTTTCGAAAATTTAAAAATTTTAGATCAACTAAGGTATTAGTTATTAAAACTTTTCTCATTTGAATTATATAAAATCCCTAATATCTAGGAACTTTATTCACCTACGAGTTTTATCCTAAAGAGACTATGCAAGCTCAAACGATATGAACAAACCACTAACAAAATATATAAGTAGTTGACAAGTGCAAGTACATTAGTGATTCTACGAACATACAAATCCAAAAGTAAAATATTAAATTACCTTTTTTTACTCTTTGATAATATAGTTCAATTTTAATAAAATTATAATCACAATTAATTATTTAAAATTACGGATAGGCTAATTATATGAAGAATTTGAATCAACATAAAATAAGCTATTTCCTTTAATTTAAAGAAAATAATTAAGTCTTTGAAATAACTACTAATTAGCAAAACCAACTTAATTATTTTTACATTCATTATATAAGTAAAATTATTTTTAAGGTGATAAATCTCTTAGGATACATAAATTTATCTTGACAAGAAGAGCATTAGCATATGCAAAATTGGTTATAATTGTATTAAAAGTAAAATTGGTAAAAATATAAACTTGAAGCAATAAGGTTGAAATAATAGAATACAAACTATATTCTGAATGAGTTGTTGTTGTTGTTGTTAGTATTAGTATTGTATTTATTATGAATATTATTATTATTCATAATAATAATAATAATAATAATACTCATAATAACTTTCCTACTCATAATATTTTAAAATAATATATTTATTGACACAAGGTACACGTGCAAAATGCGTACTTTGATGATGATGATGATAATAATGATGATGATGATGATAATAATAATGATAATGATGATGATGATGATTTGACTGACCTCCAAAGCATAGTTACATCCATTTGGACCTCTTGCATCACTCTGAACTGAAGAATAATGATCATTATTTTGAATGATGTGATTGTTGTTATGACTTGAGAAGTTGATATTGCTTGGATATGGTAGTGTGCTCCAATTTGGAGGGGCATAATCCAACTCTAATTGAGAGGAGTTATTTAATTGTGTACCCATAGTGGAGGGTAGACCGGGAATAGGCCTGAGAAAAATGAGCATAGCAATCATATTAAACAAGAACAACCACTACATAAAATTAAAGAAATAAAATATCACACTTTTATATGATATATGATATTATTACTCTTTTAACAATTTCTCTATGATAATAATTTTGACTTCATATTGAGTTTAGATGTATTGATCATTATACTCCGAATGTGATCATTCTTTTGGAAATGATGAAGCATATTATATATCTTGCAAATAATAATTAAATGCATAACGTGTTTGATCGACATATTTTGTCCCATCAAGTTTATCGACAAATTAAAAACCTTGTAGAATTGCAAAGATTGTTCCAAAAGTTCATGATAGAGCTGCTACTACTTTCACCAAAAGTCACTTGTGCCTGCAAAATGAATTTAATTATCCCAACCCTTATACATGAATAAAAAGGGGCAAACTTAAAAAGGAATAATATGTTCAAGAATATTAATTGTACCTCTGATTGACCAAATGCTTGTGCAGGATTCTGTTGCACATCTACTACCATGTTTTGTTGCTCGCTCTATTGTGCAAAAATATTAATAAAATATCTCGTTCTTTTTAAGAAAAACTTGATTGCTGTATTTTTAAAAATGTTACCTGTGTTGAGATATAAGGCGATGAGTTTTGAATTTGTGGAAATGATATATTTCCGCACTGTGAAGAACTTGCAAAGGGAACGTTATATGCGTAATTGCTTGAATTTTCTGCCACTCTCTTTCCTCTGTCAGTCAAATCTTGAAATTGAAATATGTTCCTTTGAATACTTGCACTATAATAATAACGACAATAAAAACAACAATAATAATATAAGCAGAGACGAAAATGATATGTACACAACTCAACTTAAAAGGGAAAAGAAGAGGATTTTTTAATTATATATATATATAATGGTTAAAAAAAGACCTGTATGGATTAATCCAAGTATCAAGCTGCTGTGGATCTGTTTCTTGTGCAGCAAAGTGAAATGGTATAGTGTCCAGCTTGCCTTGTTTCTCCAATTCCATCTGATCAAAATTCATCTGATAATAATAAGAATTTTATTGAATATAGAAATTAATATGACGAATAATCCTTAACACAAATATATAATTTTATTGTGAAAGAACAAACTTTTCTAGCCATGACTTTTTGCAGAGATTGTTGCAAGTTTCTCTCACACCAATAAAGTTGATGAAGAGAAGGCTCTTGGTCTACTCCAGGTTCGTAATCCCTGAAAAAATTTAATAATAAGGAAATTAAACCATGCCTATTATATTGCATAAAATAAAATAATGAAAAGTAAAATAAAATGGAAAGCAATGATGTTATAAGAAGAATTAACCAAAAAGGAAAACACTTGTGATGTTAAAGCAAATTAAATAACCTTATAGTGGCATCCAAAATCTGCAATTCCAATGTGCTTTTCTTGATTTGTAGCTCCAAATTCTGCACCAAAGTAATTTTAAGTTAGAAGTGAAGCAATTTAATTATCGATCAATTTTAAGTTTCAGGAATGGAGTTGTGCCCACCTCAATCCTGTACCAGCAACAGGTTGAAACATCCAAGAAGCCATGGATCAATGAGAAACTTTTATTAGTGAGAACCAATTTCACTTGATAAAAAAGAACACAAGTTTGTACTAACTAGTTAGTAATTAGAAATGGCAAAGTAACCTATTAGTAATTTACTTAACTCGTTTAATATTAAAGGGGTTGGGTTATGACTCGTTTATTGACCGGATCCGACGAGTTAAACTTAAAATGATCTATCAAACTAATAGATAATAATGGGTTAACATAGTTGTACCGATGAGTCAACATGCAATTCAAACCCAAACATAAATTTAGAGGATGGGAATTATGTAATTCAAAAATTATACAACACTTTTCCATTTTCTACCCCTCCCCTATATATAATTCAGATAAGAAAAATGAAAAAGGACTAATCTGACACTATTCCAAAGTATAAGGGCTGCTCTCATTTTCAATTTCCCCCCTTCAAAATAGATGTTTGTCATGCTTTCACTGACTTTCGGACCTTTTTGGTTCAAAATAGGAGTAGTTATATTGTTGGTGTTTGGATAGAATTTTTTATAGCAACAAATAACTCCGATAAGGGAGAGTACTAATTCTTCTTGCGGTAAAAGATATAAATTACTTTCCATTCTATTTACTTGCCATACTTATCAAAAATAACTGTTTCAAAATACTTGTCATTCTAAAAACTAGGAAAGAATCAATTATTATTTTTTTCAATTTAAACTTTAGCATGATAAAGTGTGCATTAACTGGAGAGAAAATAATATAATGAAATTTTCAAAAACTAGTGTCAATCAATTAGCCAAATAACATTTATTATTACTGCTCTCTCAAATGCATTGGAGAAATTATAGATGATTTGACTGTATGCATGTGTAATCAAAATAAGCTATCTCTAAGTAAAGCCTATTTTCTTGGACACCATAAGTTTTGCTATTCAAATAGAGCAAGTTTTAACTGGTGAACGAAATTATTTATATTCAGTTATCGAATATATATAGATATAGATATATATATATAGATATAGATATATATATATAAGAGCGGCTATACAATATCATTTTCTCATTCAATAAGGCGTGACGGAACATTTTTGTAAGTTAAGAAAATGAATAAAATATATACCAAGGTGAGACAATAAAATTAATCTCTCTTTTTTTAATGACACAAGAAACTAATGAAGTGAGAAGAGAATGGAAAGAGAAACAAACTGTTTTTCAAGAAAGTGAATCTTGCTAACATCTCCCTTGATATGGTTCAAGTGCCTCAGTTTTTCCACCTTTTCCTTCATTTATGTACAAAAAGAAAAAAAAGAAAAAGAAAAACAGAAATTAATAAATAAGTAAGTGGTGAGCAGTATTGATCCCAATAATTAAATTTTCTTAGTAGTCTCTATCACGAATTATGCTATTTTTGACTTTCAAAAGTCAAACTTGTGTTCCTTAACCAATTAAGAAACTGTTTAAATATCATTTAGTATTTTGTATATGATTGCATTTTAAAAGCATTTTCAGGGTCTTTTTGTTATTAATTTTTCATTTCAAAAACACTTAATTTTTAATTCATTTTAAAATTAGTTAAATTGATTTACATTAACGGAAACAAGAGATATTCTTTAGAAAATTGAAAATGCTGCAAATAAATATAGAGGATTCTGGCGTACAGATAAATATATACAAGAATAAAGGAGTACCTGAACATCCGCTAGGTGGCTAAGAAAAAAAAATCATAAGTTAGTACAAATAAATAATTAAATAGCTATGAAATAATCGTCAACTCAAGAAAATTTAGGAGAAGTTCATGTACGTCAATCTCCTTTCAACTGGAAGATTAATATAGCGATGAATCATATCTTCAATACTACAAAGGAAAAAATTAAAAGAAAATAATCAAATAACAATAGAATAAATCAATAACTAACATAACGGAATGTCCGTACAAAATTATTTAGGATCTTAACTGTGCTACCTCTTTTGACTACAGAATTTGCTTATTCGACCAGAAGGAGAGAATGCGACAAAAAACACATCAACATCACAACAGACCGCAATTTCTTCCGCCTTCTTAATTAAACTACTACGACGCTTGGAGAATGTGACTTGACGTTTTGTTATCTCTTCTATTTTCTTCATCTCAATTTTTCTACCCATTTTCTTATGTGAAAAGAAGGATTATAGTCTCTTCTCTCACTTGGAAGAATTCTGAGTAGAGTTGACTGGAAGAAGAAGCTGAAGGAGCAAATTTATAAGGTCAAAGAGCTATTGGGGTTAAATATGAAATAAATAGAAAGTTTGGTCAACCTCGTCCACACACGCTCGTGGCGAAACCACACGACTTTTTATTAAATGCTAAACTATCATGACGAATTTGACATATATAAATTATCACATTTTAAGTATGGATTTTATCTAATTTATTATACTTTTGAAGAAAAAAAAAAATCAAAGTGACTTTCATTGACTACATTAAATCATTAGATTATCCTTTCATTTACGTACATCAACTGCCCCTAGCTCATCTACCTTTTGTCCTTTTTTCTTTTTATTTTACCTTTTCTAGGTAAACCAGTGAATACAATTATTTTTTCTTGTTGGATTGAATGCCAATTGAACTTAAACCGTACAACAATAGTTTACTTACATAAAAGGTGTTCGAATATGCTAATAAGTTAGTTAGATCAGCTTATAAATATTGTTTAGTTTATTTACGCGATCGATAAATATCAAAAGTGTTGTTAACTCAAAAGCTTATGAGCCAAATTCAGCAAAAATTCATAAGTTGATCACTCACAACTTATAATTTTTACCTGATTATATGCACTTTTGGTTTGCCTACAATTTTTATTCTTTTATTTGTAATTCTTTTGTAATCTCTAAAGTACTCTTCCAAAAATAAAATATCTAACTCGTTCTCCATTTCATTTTCATCATTTGTCCTTTTCCATGTAAACTGCTTTAAATTTGTATTCGCATTAAGTAGTTTTATGAATATTTCAGTAATTTTAATAGAAAAGGTGTTTATCATTACTATTTACCAAACACATCAATTGGTTATTATTAGTTTTCACTTTTGATTTATTCAAGTACATTGTTGATTATTCACATAATTACTTTCACTATTTAAGAGTATTAATTTTCAGTACTTAATAGTACTTACCAATTGCTATCAGCTAGCTAAGCTCAATGTTCTCATAATACTTCCTCTAAAGGTATAACATACTCTCATTATCATCCATATTCAGTTCCATATGCAATCTACTAAAAGACTCTTGGTTTTGAAATTCTTGAATTCAACTACTCATATTTTATGTATTTAATTTAAGTTTTAACTTCATATAGGTCTGGAATATATTTTCATTTAAGTTACTATTATTGTGAGCTAGAGACAACATTTGTCTACCATTAGTTGTATAAGATTTTCAAAATTGTTTAGAATAACATGTGCAACTCTTCCCTTAGTCTTAAGATTTTGTATTGAATGCTAGATTCTTTCACGTAGTATCTGTGATGACCCAAAGGTCATCTTATGTTTTAGAACTCAATTCCGTGTTCCAAGGTCTTCTAAACCTCATTTTATTTCTCCTCAATTTGCGTGCGCAATCCGGGCGCGTTTCCGAAAAGCTTTTATGTGAAAAAATTGATGAAATAATAATTTTTGGTCAAAAAAATTGATTTTAGTTGACTTCTGTCAACCTTTTGAGTAAACGGATCCGGACCCGTATTTTGACGGTCCCGGTGGGTCTGTCGTAAAATATGGGACCTGGGCGTATGCTCGGAATCGAATCCCGAGGTCCCTAGCCCGAGAAATAAATTTTTGGTGAAAATTGTAAGACTCAAATTATTATGGTTTTAAGAATTTGGTTAATATTTGATCTTGTTGGTCCGGGGTCCGTATTTTGGTTCCGGAGCCCGATAAAGGTCCGTTACGATATTTAAACCTTATCTGTGAAATTTGGTGAGAAACGGAACAGATTTGACGTGATTCGGACCTTCGGTTGAGGAAATAGAAGTTTTAAAATTTCTCGAAAATTTCATGCAATTTGGTGCTAAATTTGTAGTTCTAGGTGTTATTTTGGTGATTTGTTCGCGGGAGCAAATCCGTATGATGCTTTTAGACTTGTGTGCATGTTTGGTTTGGAGCCTTGAGGGCTCGGGTGAGTTTCAGATAGGCTTCGGGATGTTTTAGACTTGAAAAATCTGGTGTTTTTGGCTTCAGCGGTCATCTGCTATTTTGTTCTTCGCGTCCGCGAAGGGACTCTCGCGAATGTGAAGAATAAGTTGGCCTGAAGGAGATTCCTTCTACGCGAACGCGAAGTGCTGGTCGCGAACGCGGAGCTTTGGGGGCATTACCCTTCACAAACGAGACCAGGCGAAACGCGACCAGGCTATCGCGAACGCGAAGCATTGGGACGTGGGGGAGGGGAAGATTACTCTATGCGAACGCGCCAAAAATTGATCGCCTCAGAGCCTACACTACTATTGAGTAGCGAGGATGGTCGATGCAGTTTTACCTAACAAGGTCGGGATCGAATCCACAGGGAGTTAATTTATTTGGAGTTAGATTTATATTCGAGTCTAGGTGTGGGTTTTACTCTTAATTACACTTCCACACATGGTCGGTTTGTTTTCTACTTCTACTTCTATTCTATAGCATGCAGTAGTTAAAACTAAGTACAATATTTTTTATGTGATTTTCAAGGGTTCAAGGGACTAGGGTAGTGACTTCCACTTAGGTGGATATCTAACAGGTAGCAAGAATCTAGGGCAATCATGTGATTAATTGGGGTCGTAATATAGCTATCACACCCGGGTACTCACTCTATACCTCTCGGTAGTTTGAGTGATTTTGCCCAATTTGGCTTTCTCAAGTCCAAATTGGTATTCATGCAATACAAGTGATAATTAGCTCAAGTCGGATATTACTATCTCTAGGTTTAACACTTTAATTGGGGCTATCAATTTCTTGAGTTCACCCCAATTCCTTGTTAGCCTAGTCTTCCTAGACTTAGTCCCTCTTTCTCAAGTAGAGACTAAGTCATAAAGGCATAAATCAGTGTTTGCAACCACTAATTCAATAGTTCTAGCAAGAACTAGGCTAAATATTACTAACGCATACACATTCAAGCCCTAGAATTCAAGACCCATCAAATACTCACACTAGGGTTGGGTCACAACCCTAGCTATGGGTTTAGCTACTCATGGAAATAGCAGAAATCAAAGATGAAATAAAGATAAAATCCATAATATTAGATTAAAAGATGAAAAGCTAATGTTAAAAGATGAATCTAATAAAAAATTGCCCAAAATAGAATATCTAGTCGTCTCACGTGCTCAGCAAAAATAAAACTTTAC